TTTTTTTTTTTTTTTTTCCAAACACAGCACAAATCCACCACTAACAGCCAAGAATGTGGCAAAAAATAGCCTGAGAGTGATTGAGATGCCCCCAGTTCCCACGGAGAACCCTTTTGCTCTGGGCAGCTTTTTCTTTCAGCAGACACAGAGCACGTGGGGRTTTGGTTTTTACAGGCAAGGAGAGCAGTTCATGGTTTTTACAGGCAAGTTCAGCAGCTCCAGTTGCTCTGTTATCTTTGCTGAATGAGATTCTTGAAAGGGTCTGATTGATTTTCTAGCATCAACACAGAGATTCTCAATRGGCCCTGTGAGGACATCTACAAAAGGACCCAAGTGTTTTGGGAAAAATGATTTTTATGCCTCTAAATCACACTGAATCAAGTKAAGGGGTAGCTGTGGGCCCATTGGTGTCTAGTGAGAAATCCCCTGCTCATTTCCCTGGGGTCAGAACTTCATCCTTATGAAGGTTTCTTATTTTCTGCTTTGTATCAAAGCTCAGAAGAGARATCAGGATAACAGCCCGACTCTGACTCAGGGCAAGTTGCCTCTTTAAACTCACCACACCAATAACTGGGAGAAAAACAAAATCTTCTGGGCACTGCTGCCTCTGTCTGAGGTCATTGCTTTGTCTCTCGTGCTGCATCAACTGAGATTCTTTCTTCAGGTTTTTCCCAACRTCAAGATGCTGATTCTGAAAAGCCATGTTGATGTTTTCCTGAGAAGCCCATCTGCCYTGAAACAAGGAAGGTGATGGCAGTGCTGACCCACACAGCCCTTTGGGTCTTTCTCATGGTGATGAATTTTTGGGTGGCTGAGGACAAGGGCTTTGAGCTGCTTTATCCCAGTTTACAAGCCTGGGGCAAGATTATAAGTAATTTTTTTTTTTTTTTTTGCTTTTTTTGAGCCTCATCCCACAGAGAATGTTCAGCAGAATTTAATCTTTCACATATGATGAGTTTTCAGATCCCAGTTTTGGGACAGAAAAGGTGGTTTAGCTACTTGTTCATATCTTTGGTAGTGCCAGAAGATTTGGAGTTTGCCCAGCTTTTAACACAGGACTATGTTTGTGTTTAAATCCCATAGGACATTCCTTATTTATGGATTCCAGGTTTATGATGGGCCTGTCAGGATGCAGATTCAGAAAATTCACCCTGAATTTTGACAGACGCTCAAGAGCCACTGGGTTCTTTGTGAAAATCTCGCAGCAGAGCAGCCTCCAGAACAACATGTCCTGATGGAGACAAGTGCAGGTAAGAGAGGCAGAAATGTTTGCTGTTGSATGTGAAATGTTTTGAAGTTTTTAGCAGTGGTGAGAGATCTGTGCTAGAGCAGCATTTCCAAGCAGTGGTGGGTGTAACTCTGGTGCATTCCATACATTAATTTTGTAGTAAGGAGCTTTATTTATATGTGAATAAAGTGTGGTGGGGGAAAATTCCCATTGGGTGAAAATGGTTTGGTTAAAATGATAACAGTGATAGAGTGAGATGTGTTTTGACATACATAAAACAATGTGCACTGGAGAAAGGCTTCACCTTGTGACCAGAGATCTCAGAACACAGCTCCTGTGGCATTGCCAGCTGCTATGGAGCTGCTGAGACCTGGCCTCAGAKGTTGAGAGGGTCACATTGAGACATCAGGAGCCAGAGAGCTGCAGAACAATTCCACAGAAACAGCAAATGCACTGAGGAGCAAATCCCTGCCCCAGTCTCTGAGATCAGCTGTGAAATTCCTGCAGAGCACAGCAGGGACATCCCTGGGGCTGTGACAGCAGAATGGGGCTCTGTGTCCCTTTCCTGGCAGAGGTGCAGAATGCTGAGCAATCCCAGATTTTGTCCCTGGGTCCTGCAGGAATCGTGGCTCTGGAGATGATGGATTCCACYCAGCAGTCATGACCTGTCCCGGCTTTTCTCAAACAAGGTCCACACTTGTCAGGATGTCCATGAACTGCAGTAACTTTGGCTTGAGGTTTGGCTTTATCTTGAGGAAAATTTCCATTGCTRGGAGATTGGCAAGCAGAGAGTTTGTCTGTGCCCTCTCTGGTACATTCAGACCAACAGCCAGGGGCTGTTTCATGATGCTGATTGCAGTCACTTGACTGCTCCTCTGAGGAAAACAGGGTCCCTGTGCATTTCAGTAAGGAGATCTTAGTTAATTTAGATGCTTTATGGACCTTTGGAACAGGARTGAGGGGTAATTTGCTGTACCTTCTTCATGTGCTCCCTTGGGGAAATGGTTACATGATGGTCATGGGGAACATCAACAACCAAATCAACCTGGAACTGGGGTGGGAAGCTTAGAGAAAGAAAAATTCATCAGGGGGGTGGAAGAGAGTGGAAAATTTCCTCCAGTAATGGCTGCAGGACTGTTCACCAGAATGGTTTCAGACAGGTGATATCTGTGCACATAGCAAAGGGAGATTATAYCTTGAATAGCTGAAAATGCAGCTCTTTAATACAGTCACATTTGAGACCAATGAGCCTGTTAAATATGAAACATTTTGTGTCTGGGAGGCAGTTTAGTAGTGAAACACCTTTAGGATCTAARATTTTCAAAGTAAAAATGGTCAGAAGATTTCCTAAAGAATTCTGCAAAGCAAATTAAACCAGTGGAGTGTAATCCTATTACAAAAAAAAAACAAACCCAAACCCCAACAAACCCTAATGACATTATCCAAATTACTCTTCATTGTATGTGTATTTCCAAGAAAATATCAATTTCTGCCAGCTTAAAAGCCATGTGTGTTTGTAAGCACCTGCATCCCAGCAATTTCCACTTTTATTCTGCTTTRTCTGGATTGAACCCAGATGTGCTACATCTGATTTTACACTTGTAGGACCACAGTTAGTTTACTTTTTTGTTGTTGCTGCYCATTGCTATATGGGATAATATATCTTTGCCTCGTTAAGATAGAGCCTGTCAACCATTTTAATTAATTTTCCATCTCCAGGCTTCATTTTATTAGCTTTTAAAGGATGGCTAAGTACTAATTCCCTAAAGTACAATCATTTTCCTGTTATTCTTTAAGAAGAAATKAAACATTACTGCAAGTTGTGCAGCGATGACAAAACTATTAGTCATGCTGAGGGATAATTGTATAATTAATCAGACTAATCAGCAGATTGGTTAGACAACAAAATAATAAAGCCAGTCAGGTCTTGTTTAACTCCAGCATAAAATAACAGTGAAGCAGGACAGAAGGCCTAATAATCACACTGCACAAAAAAAATTCCAGCTGAACCTCACACATTATCTGTGCATTTATCCATTGCAGTGTTATTGCTGGGATTGATTGATTGTTTGTTTGGAGAAGGGGCTTTGAAAATGCTGTTTGGAAGCAGTAGAGGGTTTGGCTGAGGGATGAGTGATGCTGTCCTGTGGATCTGTGGGTCAGCAGCACCTGGAGGGCTCAAAGGAGTCACCCCAGGCCAGAACTGAGCTGTGTCCAAACAGAACATTTGTGCATCACTTCTTTGGGTCTGAACATCTCATTTTAGTGATGGAACAGCCCCCCATTCACCCCTCAGTCCCTGTGAGGTGCAGAGTGAGGGGAGGAGGGTGAGCAGGGTGGCTTTGGCAGCWGAAGGCTCCAAACGATCCCAAATCCCATCCCAGCTCTGGTCACTGTGTCCCTGGATGAATTCAGGGTGAATTCCAGCCCTTCCTGTGCCAACCCTGGGGCATTCAGCAATCCCTTCTGCCAGAGAAATCCCCGCAGTCTGTGCTGGTTTGTGATCCCAGAGAAGCTCCTGTAGCAGCTCCTGTGGCTCTGTTCCTGCCCAGCTGAGGGATGAGCCCTTCCCAGTGCTGCTTTTGCTGTTTTTAGCCTGTGTTGTTTCAGTGCTGAAAACATCAAAGCACACGCTGGCAAACAGCTCTTGGTGGGAAAAAAAGGACAGCAGACACTGAGTTGAAGTTATTTCCTGAAATAGAGAGCAGAAAAGATCCCAATCCCAGCCCCTAAAGGGACTCCTGACCAAAGGGACCTCTGCAGGGTGAGGGTTTGCATCATTCCAGCACAGGAAAAGCCATGGGGACAGAGACCTTGGGTGGCAAAAGAGGGGAAGGYTCCCACTGGGTGAAAATGGTTTTCAATTCAAAAGGTAACAGTGGTACAGTGAGATGTCCTTTGCTGGCAGTTCCTGCCAACACTTGAATTTCACAGAAAGTCACAAGTTATTCCAATGATTTCCAGCACATTATTATTTCTGAATTCAGAAAGTGCAGTCATGAGGATTCCCTGCAGGTGTGTCAGGTGTGCTGCCCTTGGACAGGGGCACTCAGCACATTCTTCAGGGTTACACACAGAATGCTGTCAGCCTTCAGCCAGGTAATTCCACCAAATTCCCTCTGAGGCACTCCACACTCAGTGAAAATGGTCTGAACAGCAGTGTGGTGCCATGAGCTGYCTCTGCACCCTCTCCCAGCTCTGTGTGAACAAACCTGAGGAGCTGAGCCTTTGTTCTGGTGTGTTCACTCAGAAAAAAAACACAACCATTGTAATTGCAATCTCAGTTTTGCTCCTGTKCCACTGTGCACACAGCCAGGGAACCTTGAACCCTGAGAAGAGACACTGCTCATTAACATCTCCACTTCAATTCTGACTTTCAGACTTTTTTAGAGGAGAATGTGGAGAGATAAAAATAAAATTAGCAGCAGAAGTGTCTGCTGCTGGATGGRAACAGAGTTTTGATCAGATTGAGAGTTTCTGGCTGTGTTTGGTTTGARGGGATGTTGACTTTGTTCTCCTCCCCAGTGAAATTTTCACTGTTTTCATATTCAACTCCAAAAGTGCCATCACAAACTGTTTATAATGGAGTTTTGAGCTGCAGCACAGTGTTTACATTTTTTTAATATCTCCKCTTTGATAAATTAAAACTAGAGGAAAAAAAAATCCCCAACTTTTGTGATCCTCCTAGGCCAAGGCCAAGTAGCCTTTTGGGGAAAAWCTTCCTGTGGTGCAGCAAGAAAAGATTTTTAAAACCTCAAAAACACTSCTTAACTTTCCAAGTGTTTGAGCCTCCTTTAAAGGAGATTGCTTCAAGTGTTTGTTTATGAGATTCATACTTAGACAAGAAGGCAGAAAAATGGTTCTAGGCTTTAATTTAATTTTAAAGGAATAAAAGCTTTTATTCTGCAAATAGTTGTTGCTGCAGGGTTTTGGGGGTTTTTTGGTTTTTTTTTGTTTTTGTTTTTTTCAAGGCAATGGACTTCCCATCTAACTCAGAATCACAATAACCCTCTCATTCTCCTAAACCATTCTGTTTATTATTGTTAAAACAAAGCCTTTAAAGCCCTCACTAAACTTGCAGCCTAATCCTGCTGACCCCGATTCTTACTCATGTGCACAGTCCAATTAAAATTAGTTSGGTTAAAATGAACAAATTACAGTCCTTTGGGTGGGCATGGTACAGTTRTTATTTGTGCTGTCGAATTCATTCTGAGTGCTTGACCTGCACTAATTATTCTCTTGATTACTTGGGAACTTAATCTTCACACACTGTAATAATTTCATCTGCAGACATTAAAATATTCCACGCTTTTTTTATTTTTTTGTTTTGCTGAACATCTGCTGTTTCCTTGTTTTGCTGGATTTTCATATCGGGACAGATATTTTTACTTAGCTGCTGAAAAATCTTGATAGCAGAGCTATGCACAATGGGGATAATGCTTCCTCCTGTTATTTCTCTTTCCTAAAAAAAAAAAAAAAAAAAAATTCTTCATGGGATGTATTGGAATGTGCATGGGAGACAGTTCAGAGGATTTAAAACTTTTATAAGTTTTAAGGGGTTTTAAGAGAAACAATTAGAAAAAAAAATGGCACTGACAGAACCACTTAAAACAGAATTGAAAAGATATGAGAGAATTACCCAAATTTCCAGTTACTTTTTCTTTTCTTTATTAACAGCTGTGATAATCCTCAGTAAATTTCACATCCATCCAATACTTTCCTGCACTTTCAGTCATCCTCTTCCCTTTGCCACTATTCAGTTTGTTGCTGTGTGATTTCAAGCAACATGTGATGGTGTGGGTGCATTTCAAAGAACCAAAAGTCCAATTTTTGTGAAAATATCTTCTGGTATTAAGAAAGGAGAGGGAGAACCAACATAAGTGGGGTTTTTTTCTGAATAGAAGAGGCAAACCAAAACTTTGCTGAGAAAATAGAACTTCCTGCTTCCTTTTGTAGCACTCCCAAAACACTGCAAAACCTTCCCAGCAGTGAMTGTCACGATCAAACCCTGAGTACTCGTGTCTCCTTGAGCTAAAAAAAAAAAATTTAGGCATTTGCTTTAGCTGCACAGCAGCGAGCAGGAGTTGCTATTTAAATATCTAAACACTGGAATAAAAAAAACCCTGGTGTGTTTTGGCTGGGCAGAAATGGATGGGGCTCCTGTGAAACAGGGGTTTGTCCTTGGCTCTTCGTTTGGTTCTGTGTCTCTGGACAAATTGTTGTATGTGCTCTGGCAACCTAACAGTTAAATTGAGAGCTGCAAACAAGCAGACATTTATATTTTTATTTTTATTTCTATTAATATCCTCCTGGTTATGGCACTGGACRTGGTGAGCCAGTTTTTCCACCGTAGAGAATTTCCTTGGCTAGCTTTAGGCAAGCATAAACATTTACTTCTCTGGGATCCATTACTTACCAGCACTTTTCAACTCATCAGCATCCAGCAGGATGAGTAAAGGTCACATGAAACTGCACTTTATGGGTTTTGGGGAGGGAAATGTATGTATGTGCAGGGTAGAAGGARCTGGTCTCGTGCAGCAGGGTTTATTTGATTTATTTGAGGATAACTGTTGGAGAATTTCAGCCTCAATGTACTCCTCAGCCCCTGTGACTTGTTTGCCTGCTCACTTCTGAGTGCTGTAATTCGGATCAAAAGCCCCAAAACAGAGAATCCTATTATGGAGCAAGATGGTTTGCTTTGATCTTAACAACTTCATTACCAAATCTGTTTTTCTGTTCCTTTTCAGCTCTGGTAGACAGGAGCTTTTATTCTTCCCCGGCGCGGGCAGGTGAAAATATCCTTTSAGCTGAGGGAAATAGTGACTGCTGTGTTAGTGCTGAATGGAGCCCAAGACAGTCAGGGATGGGCTATTTGGCCTGGAAAGTGAGATGCAAAGTCCTTCAGCAAATCCTTTCTGAGCTGAGCGCCTGGAGTACACTTAATTCCTTTCTGCTTGGTTTCTTTCGTTCCCATTTCATGCTCCTCTTCTCCTGGATGTAATTTGCCCAAGAAAGGAAACGCCTGGGGAAAAATAATTCCTCTGGCAGTGTTTCTAGAGCCAAAAATCCTGGGGACAGGCTTTCCTGAGGGTGTTTTAACCTGGCAGATCAGGCTTTCCCACCCTGTGTGGTTGGTTCATGGCCCCTCATGTTTCGTTCTCTCTCGTTCTTCCTTCAGCAGGGAGCACTGARGAATTTCTCCAGAGTCTGGGATCACCTTAAAATCATGAGATTGGTGCAAGAAAGAACCATCAGGTCTTTCCTTTTTGGTTCTGCAGCCTGCAGGGTTATTGTTGTCCCAACCCCTTTGCTCTCCAAGGCCAGCTGAAGCTCTCATGYTGTAATGTCCAGAAAGCAAAGCTTTAGGGAGGAACCCCAAACAGGGAAACTCTCAGGGAAGTCACAGGAGCTGTCAGCACCACATCTTCTGTGGTCTCTGAGTCACTCAGATTTCCTCATCAGGGCACTGAGCTCCTTGGTGTCCCTTCAACCTGACTTGCACCTCTTGCAAAGGCCACTAAAGGAAGAAAAATAKAGGGAGATGCTCACATCACAGTGTTCTCCATGCAAACTTGACTCCGTGACACCTGCAATACTTTTTAAAATGTAAATGGGATTCCCAAACCTTTCCTGATTCTTACATCAATTGTAGGACAGGTGTCACTGGGCAGTTGAAGCTGTGCTCTTGCTCCTTGCCTGCAGACTTCACAGCAACTCATCAGGGGAGGCTGTGAAATTTCTCTTTTTTTTTTGTATTAGTTTTTATTAAAATAAGCAGAGTTTTTGGCAGTAGGTGCTGTTTTCTTTCATAAGCTTGAAAAGGTGTTAGACAGTCATAAGAGACTGCCACACAGCCAAATTAGTGTCAGTTTAGAATTAACAAAAACTGGCGCCCTGCAATTCTGAAATACTCTAGGAAATGCTGTTGGTTTTACACCACTTCACTTAGTCACTGCTTCACTGAAATAGAGATTATTCCAATGTTGTGWAYTCTTATTAGAGATTATTCCAATGTTGTGAACTCTGTTTTTGCAGTGAGTGTTTGTGATTTTGCTGATCCTGCACCTCTGGTTCTGTGGGCTCGGTGCCCCTGGGGTTGGTTTTGGTGGTGATGCTCCAAAATGTGAAGCAGGAGGTAGCAAACAGTGCTTTTCCAGCCACAGGAGAAATGTCCAGTCCCAGGAGCTCAGACTGGGAAGAAGGAAAAGCCTGTGAGATGTTTTTCAGCTCATGGTRTCTGTATTTGGATAAAGAGGTTCGATTTGGATCTCTAATGTACACCAGTTGAAAATCAAAGTAGATTGCCTGATATCGGTGGCATGTTTTAGAGAAAGAAAGCTACTTTGATTTTTTTTTCTTTCTGCAAGAATTTTAAAGTCTTTGCTTGGAAATTTCATTGAGAAAATGTTTTTCCCTAAGGTATTAACATTTTTCGWGCAGTCAGCCAGAAAAGGAGAAGGYATGTTTTGATATTCTCATTTTTAAGGTTTTTTTTGCCCCAACTTGACAGCTGASAGCACCACAGGACAAAAGCAAGAGTACAAAATAAGGCAAGAAAACCTTTTGTCAGAAATCAAGACTGCCATTCTGGGATCCACTTTAACATTTGAGCATCTGCAGATACCATTCAGAACAGCWCATCCTTGAAGAGTGGTGGTGGGAAAGGAGGAGTGGACTGAAGAGAAACATTCACAGCCTCTTTTGGGCTGTTCTTTTGCATGAGACCCAAATGTTTWATGTTAGCAGGAGGCTGCTGATCCAGGGGTGAGAGGAGGGGATGATCTGTCTGATGGAGAYCCTTGGGAGCTCAAACTCAGCATCAAGAACAGGCACAATTGTGGGACCCTAAGAGCATTGAAATGAAACCAGAACTGGAAGCTGAACTCACTGGAATGCCTGACTAAAATAAATCCACACACAAAGCAATGAGAGACAGTCTGGTTTTGCAGAGCTTTCAGCTTGTGTGGACARGAGGAAGATAAGCAGATCTGGAGATGTGAGTGCCCTGCTTTAGCTGGCAGATTTCCTGATAGATGGAGCCTCCACCTCTCTACGAGTCTTGGCTGCACTTGTACCCTTGTGAAATGAAAATCTGATAAGGAACTGCTGCTTCCATTYAGATCTACCTCAAAGACATGAATCAAGTTTAAAAATAATTTTGACAGATGGATGCTTGTGTAGAAGCTCAGACATTTCTGAGCTACCATGGATTTTTATGTCGCATGTTTTGAGTTCYTGATGCAAAGAGTGTTATTCTACCCTGCAGGAGAATGAAGGCAGCAGGATTATAGGTGTCCTCATCTGTYCTTTGTGCATCTGAGACCCTTCAGGGAATATGACAAGCTGCCTGCAGCAGCCCTGTCCACAGATTTGTGTGACTGGCTGGGCATCCTCCTTCTGCACTGGAATTTCTCATGGTGGGAAGCAGGGGAGCATCACTCCTTCAGCCTTGGAACTGATGAGGAATTCACCTTTCCTTGAGGGGTGGCACAGGGCAGAAAAAGCACACAGGTGGAGAGTGGTTTTGTAATGGTCTGTGCAGCTGAGCTGCAGGTCAGAGCATCAGKTGGTCCATGAAAGAGGAGCTGTGAAATTTGGTGTTTTGTGTACRAGGTCATAGAGTCACAGCAACAAGTTTTAGCCCCCAGAATTTCAGCCTAGTCTGCTACTCGAGAGCAAAGATGTGGATTCTATTAGACAACTGGACCTAATCCAAAACCCATTGAAATAASTTCAATTTTCTGTACTTTCAATGGAATAAGCTTGTTTTTAAAGTACAGCTATTTCAATTCATAAAAAAAGTTACTTTGTGATGCTTCCTTGATCACCCTCCTCCCTAAAGGTTTTGAACAGTGAACATTTTTATGGCACTGTACAACTCCTATCTCACTTCACAGCGTCCCCATGGATGGCTGCAGATGCTATTTCTGCTTTACCTTTTTATTTGAACTGGAAACGATTCAGTGACTTTCCAAATGTTCTGAACTCTTCACTGGCAAAAGCCATTTCCAGCAGCGATGATCAAATGCACATGTTATGGCTGTGCCTGCTTTAATGGGGATGTGTTTGTCATTTGCTTTCCACCCTCAGCTTTCTGACCAGGCAGATGCCCCTGCCAGAGCAGCAAGGTTCCAGCAGCACCAGTTTRTCATCATCCTCCATCCAGCAGGATTAAATCATCCAGGGGATACCAGAACACCTGAGCATGTCACCCTGCACCATCAACTTCAACAGGTACTGCCCTATGTTGATAGAAAACGTTTTGTTTCCCCAAGGGCTGGAGCTTTATCATTTTCCCAGATTGTTCAGAGTGACCTTTTGAGGTCTCGGCAGTTTCTGAGTGTGGAAGCGAAGTTTTAAAGGTTGGCACTTGCTGATGCAAGGAGATGCCTCTGCCTTCACTCTGTTTCAGCTTTTTTGATGTGCAGAGAGACACAGAAAACTTTCTCTTTCCAGAAAGTTTKGAAACAGAATCCAAGTAAGCCCTGGCCTGCTGTCCCTGAAATCCCTCCAGAAGAGCTCTGGCTCTGGTTCGTTTGTTTGTACTCATTGCTGCACACATAATTTATCTCCCATATATATAAAGTGCAGAAATACATCAGAACATGCACAAAACTCTTCATCTTCTGTAATCCAAAGAGCACTGGAGTCATTGCTTCTTTCTAACTAAAATTTTAAGATGTTAGGTCTCAGCAGAGCAGAATTGTGGGYTGTGCTGTGTTTATTTCCTGTTTTCTTCTAGCATTATGTACAGACAGGGTATATCCATTTTAGATGCTGCTTCTTTCCCTGGCACTCTTCTTCATTTGGCATGATTTCATTGGTGGTTTTTAGTGCTGTTTTTACTTCCTTGTGCTTTGCACTGGTTTTTTGGTGGGCACGCAGGAGATGCTGCAAGGGCTGAGCACCACCAGAARCCCTGGGCACCACCTCGGGTCCTGCAGCTTGCCCAAGCCCTCGTTTCTGTTAAAAACACACACTTTGGTGAGTGAAATCCACAGCACAGGCTCAGGTTTTCAAAGCTGGTTGGACAGAGTTGGCACCAGGGAGGGCAGAGGCACTGAGGATGTGGAGCAGCTCGTTCCTCTGGCAAATCTGGAAGGCTCCTGGTTCCTTCCAGCATCATTCACCAAATTCCACACCCACCCACTGCTCCTCCAGCAGTGCCCCTGCTCTGGGGTTAGGGGAGGAGAGTTTTGGCCAAAGCTTGAGCTCTGTTTTATTCCCTTGAGCAAAAAACAAGCCAAAAAAAAATCTAAAAATGCTGTGCTTTGACCCCATTATGCAGGCCCATGGGAATGCAGCTGAGCAGGGCACTGGTTCCTCTTTATCTGTGCCCATTCCATGAGGGACACACACCTGGACCCCTCCATTTAAAGATTCTGCAGGGCCATGGCTGAGTTGATGCACAATCAGTGTTTAGACATTCCTGCCACCAGGGAATTATCAGAATTAAATCACTCYTTTCTGCATTAACATATCTTTGTGCACTTTAAGGAAGAGGAAAACCTACTGGTTGCTCATRGACAGGCTGAGCTTTGCAATTGTTATCTGTCTTAAAGCAGTGAGCTCTCTCCTTGCAGAGCTAAATCTGCTCCAAATCACTGATGGCCGATTCTCACYTGCCAAAGCTTTGACCCAATCCATCTCCAAGCATGGTTTTAAATTTGAAGGCAGAACCAGGGCTTTGGTAAAGCTCAGCTTGAGGTTTAACTCTCGTTCAAGCACCAATTTAACTACATTTTACTGTTGAAAACCACAATGTGGTTGTGGTTCCCTCTGTCTTGCATTGTTTTTGTCTTGTACCAGTTATTTGAACTGAGCAAAGGTTTGCAGTGTTTTCTGATCCAGAAACAGCTGKCAAGGTGTGTGTTTTGAAGAATTGTAAGAAAGAAATGTGCTGTAACAAAGGCAAACCACAATTTTAGTTCATTTCATTTCATTCTTGCTAAGAAATGGTTGGGAATGAATTGTGTGGCTGCTCTGTCTGCACCTCAAGTATGCTGGATGCTGAGAACTAAGGCTGATGCAATAGTGAAAGCTCCATGGAAAAACATGGAGAAATGAGATTCCCCTGGAAGGAATTGAGGTGAAAAAGAGGTTTKAGGTGTTTGAAGGAAAATAAGCGCCTGCCTAAGCAATTTCATGTATGACCTTTACTAAGGCTTGTATTCCAATGATTTCTGGAATGAAAGAAATCTCAGATTGTGGAGCACASAGTAATCAGAGATAGAAAAACAAGGAAGACTTTTACCTGTCTCAAGTGGCTTTATGTTTTATTTGTTCTTTTTAGCTTCAATACACTGCACAATCTCGCAGAAAATGAGCTGTTAATACAGTAATGTCTCTGCCAAACATGCAATGCAAACCAAATCAGTTTTGGATGAACTTTAATAGCAATCTCCTGGGATTAATGATTGCAGGAATAACCTGAGAGAACAGTTAGAGTATTTTCAGTGCTGTCACTGCTGAATCTGGGGTGCTGCCCTCACTCTGTGGTGATCTGCTCTGTGCTGGCTGGAGGAAGGTCAGAGGGGAAAGAAGGAATTTGACAGGGAGATGTGCACCGGGATTTGGATTTCCATGGAAGTCAGGCACAGCACTAGTGTCGAATATTTGCATGATTAACACTTTCCGTGCCTCTGAGGCACAGCAGAACTCGTGCCAGTCCAGACATCTGGGAGMAGGCTGGAACGCCCGGATTCCTGGGGTGGGCAGGAGCTGCTCGGGATGAATTCACATCGGGATGAATTCACATGACTCAGCTGAATTTGGCACTGCTGGGGCTGTGAATCCTGTCCAGTGAGTTCAGAGGCACCGCTCAGGCGGGTTTGCTCAGTGGAGGAGGACACCAGTTACAGCACAGCCACCCTGCAGATCTTTATCTCTCTTTCTTTCTTTCTTTATCTTTCTCCCTTTCCTTTCCTTTCCTTTCCTTTCCTTTCCTTTCCTTTCCTTTCCTTTCCTTTCCTTTCCTTTCCTTTCCTTTCCTTTCCTTTCCTTTCCTTT